CCGGGAAAGTCGGTGGAGTTGGCTGCAAGCCTCTCGGGGCCCCTCAGCAGCCTGGTAGCGGAGCTGCTTGAAACGCTGGCACGGTATGTCTGAGATGGCCGCATCTTCAAGGAAGACCTTCTGGTCCATCCTTCCCCGGAAGCTTCCTTTGCTCCTGGTCTCCGTGGCAGCAGGACCTTCTTCTCCTGCACGGCTACCTGGGTTTGGGTTTGTCAGCACTGATCCATGTGCCAAGGAAAGCTCCAAGGGGGGCCAGAAACACTCTTCTCGCTTGGTATGTTGGCCAATAGGACCGTATGACAAGGTGCTGCAAAGGGTCTGTGGAGGCAAGAGGAGGTTCTGTTAAGGAATCAGATACTGTCAGAACACGGTGAAAGGAGCAGGACTCCCGCGAGTGAACAAGTCTTGTCCGAGGAGGAGGAGGAGCAGGTATATGCCAGGACTCACAGGGGGACTAGAGAGTTGGGGAAGATCCTTTCACCTGAAAGGATTTCCCTCGGCGCCCGCGGGAGCGTTGCAGGGGCCTCCCGATGCCCGCCCTCCCCGTCCTCCGGGTCGGCGCCGCGCTGAGCGGAGGTGGCGGCCGGCGCGCCAGGGGAGCAGCCGCGCAGGGGGCCCGGACGCCGGGGCTGACCTGGGCCCCCCACCCCCCGCCCCCCCGCAGCCACGGGCTCCCTCACCCCAGGCGGGACGGGGCGCACCCGACCCCCTCCAGGAGGCCCCGCCGCAGCTCCGGGCGCGCCTTCCCGAGGCGGGGGCGACGGGGGGCAGCGGCGGCCGCGGGGGCAGTTCCGGTGTCTCCCTCCCTCGCTCCCTCCGGCGCGGCGGGCGAGCTCCCTCCTTCCTTGGCGCGCGCGCGCGCACGCACACACACACACGGATGGGGACAATTTGAAGATAATTCCTCAAAGCCACGCTTTGCCTCTAGGCGGGTGAGGGAAGGTACCGCCCCCGAAACGTCCTCAGAATAAGGTTTCCTGGGAAATTTCCGCTCCACTTCTGCTGCAGTGGAGATTTTACGAGCTTGCCTGCCAGTCCTCCAGGACTCCGTTTAGTCAAGCGCTTCCCCGCCGGACCAGCGAGGGGCGGCCTGGTGCGGCATGACGGGATTCCGGGGCGGCAAAGGCCCGGGAGGCTCCCTGCATTGCAGCCTTCCTGCCTCCACCTTCAGGCAGGGCCCCGTCTCGACCAAGCGCCTTGGGAACACCATAAAATGGCACCACATTACTTTTTCTTTTCCGGCTTGTTGTAGTAGGTTTTGTGAACATACTAAAGCCGTCTTTGATTCCATTAAGAGGAGACTTTCATGTTTCCAAGGAAAGCTCTTTTCAAAGAGAGACTGAACGCCAGATCTGGTTTTCAACACTATGCATGAAACATTTATTCTATGATATAAAAAATACAGAAGTATAAGAATACAAGTTTGGCAATCTTCAGCAACAATATCTAGAGGCCCCATTCACCCTCGCATTCATGCAACACTCGTACCCTCTCGTGATCCATCGGGACTGTGGGGGACCAGTATGCCGCCACCAGATCCCCTCCGAGTCCCCTCTTCTCTAGGCTGAAGAGACCCAGTTCCCTCAGTCTCGCCTCATACGGCATCCCCTGCATTATCGAGATACTAACATTTAGTTTTCTACTCTTTGGCATTACTGTCTCACCAGTACCAACTGCATTTTTGATTATTATTTGCTGGGAGGGAAGGATTATACACATTATAGGAAATAAAACCAGAGGAGACAGGATGCAGAGATGCTGTTTTCTGAAATGTTTCCTGAGCTCTCTATGTTAGGCTCGGCCCACCTGGCACAAGATTAGCATAACAGAATGTTATCAGCTGTGTACTAAAAGTTAGCATAATAGGAGGCTTTGTGTATTGAGTTAGCATAATAGGAGGCTTTGTGTATTAAATTAGCTAACAGGAGGTTTAGCAGCTGCCCCAGGCATACACAGAGTGTTATTTCAGAAAATGGGCAAGGTTTATCAAAGGCGTAAAAACTTAAAAGGATAGGCTAACTGCAAACCGTCTCGCTTCTGTATCATGCTAGCTCGCTTAGGCTGCCAATAATAATTTTCCATTTGTTTGTAACAAGGTATAAAAACCCTGCTGTCCCTCTACTGGGGACCCGCACTCATCCCATCCTTGTGTGAGAGTGCTGGCCCCTGCGCAGGTAATAAAAACTCCTATTAAAAATACCAACTGGTCTCTGGTCTCATCAGTAAAACCGTGCGACACAACATCTGTACTCTACATCAAATATATCTTGTTTAATGGTTTGGTGTAACCCTGCTTAATAACAAGGGTCCGATATGGCAACAAATGGCTTGATGTGTCTTATATTCACTTTGAGGGAACAGACTGACCCCCAGGTCTCTTCCACATTAGAGGTCAAAAGAAGAGTTAAGCTGGATGGATCTCCCTGTTTCCACCTCAGTGTTCCCTCAGGCCCTGCCTCCAAGCTCCCTGGAATTCCCTTGCAAGGGAGAGGCAACCAGCACCCACCTGACCCTGATTTTGCCTTTTTTCTTTAGTATCTGTTCTGAGATTATGATTAGGCATCCTGCTGCTGGTTTATTGTGTGACTGGTTTGTTGTTGGATTGTTTACTCTGCTTTTCCTTCTGTTGCATGCATATTGTATTTTACTCTATTATATTTTACGGTTTTAGTAATTATGGATATCAATTTTATCTCTGTTTCCCATTTTGATCTATCTTACTGTGTATGCTTGCGCTGTGAACCCCCCAGAGAGCCTTTGGGAATGTGTTGGTGTACAAATACAGTAAAGGAAGGAAGGATGGAATCAAGCCACGCACGCATCTCCCAGGTCTGCAGCCTTAAATCCGATTACAGACTCCCAGAATAGTGGAGTCCGAAGGAGCCAAGGCAGGCTCCGGGTGCAAGCGCCACTCAGGGCTGCACTCAAGGGAGAGCAGCCTCGCCGCCTGACTGCCTGCCGTCCTGGGGACCCATGCTTGAGCGAGGCCGGCTCTGTGCGCCCAGAGTCGGCCGGGAGACTTCGGGGTGGCGGTCGCCTGGTCAGTT